GAGGTTTTGGAGATAAAAGTTACCAAATATAGTCAAGACCTTTGACCTGTGACTGATCAGTTAATGAGTCTGTTCTTTATTCTACAAACTCAGATGCAAAACAAAGATAAAACTACCATTTATATGTGGACAGGAGGATGGAGTGCTAAGGCTAGCAGTCTGGGTAGGAAGCTGCATCCATAAACTGTATGTGTGCAACCCACACACACATAACAACTTCTAAGTTTAGCAGAAAGCTGTTGACTACACTTGTGTCAGCAGTTTCTGACACTTTTGTGTAGGCTTCATATTTCTGCCCTGGACATTACTGCTTGGTCAACATTATAGTTTAGAGGTGAATGATTGGCTGCTCTGGGGAGCCTGAGCGTGCTTCCTCATTAGTCAAACAGGAATCTGCTGGTGAACTGCTAATAATTTTTTGTATACTTTTAAAAATTTGGCCTGATTTTGGAACTTAAAGACAGAAGGACTTAATCTCTTGAGATGAAACCCGCAGTGATAGATATCTGACACGAGTCATCATTCGTTTGTGATTCACTCAGATGATTAAAAAGTTGGTCTGTTGCTGTAGTTTTACTGTACAAGAGTTACACGTGTACTTAATAATGACACAAAGATATTCAAGATATGCTCACAAATGAATCAATTCTGTCTTTTCTGGCTGACATAAAGGCACACTGCACGCTGTTCACTTTTACCAGTAGCCTTTTGATGGTAGGACAGCGCTGTGTTATTGAAGCTTTTGTGTGGATGTTGTATTGTTCGACTGGGCGGGAGGCCGGGGTGGGGGGCGGGATTGTGCGTGTGTGTGTGTGCTGACATGGACCTTCTGTGATGGCTTTCAGCTGGATGGATGATGTGGTACTGAGGACAGTGAGAGGAGAGTGGAGGAGAAAAACAGGGTGAAGGAAGATTTTAAAAACACTTAAACAAACGAAGCACGCGGTGAGACGCACGGCTGACTGAGATGGACTCGAAGACACTGAGACAAACTTGGGATTATCAGTAAGGGATCATCAGAAGAGGAGTTTCTCAAACATGGACTAGTCTGGGAGCGTCCACATATATAGACAAACACACACTCACCCTCATACATTCACACACTCTGTTCCCTCGTGAGAGGCCTTGGAAGCGGACAGGTGCCATTATGCAGGAGTCTCCAGGTGCGGTTGGTGTGGATGGCAGCTACACTAGTAATGTCCCAGCCTTTCTAACGAAGCTGTGGACCCTGGTTGAGGACCCAGACACCAACCACCTCATCTGCTGGAGTGCCGTGAGTCACATTTACATTAATATTACTGGTTACTACTTATATTAATTTTTAGTACAGTATATATAAGAAGTGAATATGGCATAGGTTGTCTATGAGAGACTGACCAGCTTGTTAAAGCTCTGGGGAAACTGCTGAAGCTGATGTTGCAGCTTTAACGGTACAAAAAATCCTACATGTCTTTATTGTACGGTTGCAAGATCTTTATTTGGTGGTGACTTAGTGGTTTCAGTATCAAGGCTTTGTTATTGGGTTGTTTAGCTTGTTAAGCAGTTGCATTTCTGATATTGATTCTATGTAACAAGTAACTCCATCAATGGACTAAAGCTTTGAACAGTATCGTAAATTCTGTTAATCTGAAATAGTAACAAAAATCTATTTGTGTAGTGTGAAGGCATCGAGTATGATCACAAATCCAGCACAGAGGTTCTGT